TGTTAAAATCTGGAAGCAACCAAGATGTCTTTCAGTAGATAAGTGAGTAAACTATGGTACATCCAGACAATGGAATGCCATTAAGCACTAAAAAGAAATGAGCTACCAAGCCAGGAAAAGACATGAAGGAAACTTAAATGCATATTACTAAGTGAAAGAAGTCAACCTGAAAAGGCTACATTGATTCCAACTATGTGACACTCTGGGAAAACCAATACTATGGAAACAGTGGTTGCCAGGTGTTAGGGCAGAGGGTGGATGATAAGACAGAGCATAAAGGATTTGCAGGGCAGTGAAACTGTTCTTTATGATACTATAACTGGATAAATGTCATTATACACATTATCTATAGAATATACATCAAGAGTGAGGCCTAATGGTAACTTTGGATTTTGGGTGATGCTGATGTGTCAAAATAGATTCATCTATTATAATAAATGTATTACTCTGGTGCCAGTGTTTTGTTGTGTTTGAGATGGAGTCTTGCTCCTATCACTCAGGCTGGAGTAGAGGGGCTCACTGCAACCTTCACCTCCCATGTTCAAGTGATTCTCCTTCCTCAGCCTCCCGAGTAGCTGGGATTACAGGCATGCACCACCACACCCGGTTAATTTTTGTATTTTTAGTAGACACGGGCTTTCGCCATGTTGGCAAGGCTGGTCTTGAACTCATGACCTCCGGTGATACACCCACATCAGCCTCCCAAAGTGCTAGAATTACAGGCATAAGCCACCACGCCCGGCCTCTGGTGCCATTGTTGATGGTGAAGGATGCTGTGCATGTGTAGGGGCAGGGACTATATGAGAACTCTGTAATTCCACTCAATTTTGCTGGGAAAGCCACTCTAAAAAATATATTTTTTTATTTTACCAGCTTCTTCTTTACCTCAATTGTAAAACTGTAGCCTTAGAAGGAGATAAGTTTCTGACCCCAAGTTTTATTCCAAAAAATCCTTTAAGAGTTCTTTGCCTGACAGTGGGAACTCGCTTATAAAGATAAGATTAAGAATTGGCCGGGCGCGGTGGCTCAAGCCTGTAATCCCAGCACTTTGGGAGGCCGAGGCGGGTGGATCACGAGGTCGAGAGATCGAGACCATCCTGGTCAACATGGTGAAACCCCGTCTCTACTAAAAATACAGAAAACTAGCTGGGCGTGGTGGCTCGTGCCTGTAATCCCAGCTACTCAGGAGGCTGAGGCAGGAGAATTGCCTGAGCCCAGGAGGCAGAGGTTGCCGTGAGCCGAGATCGCGCCATTGCACTCCAGCCTGGGTAACAAGAGCGAAACTCCGTCTCAAAAAAAAAAAAAAAAAAAAAAAAGAATTGCCGTTCTACCAAGTCTTGTTTTAAACAGTCTCAGGGTAGCTATTATTGTAATGGGAACTGGAGACCGGGCAGAACATAATGGCTAGTAAGTCTCTTTGGTCTGAAAAATCTATGACTACACAAGTTCTTTAACTGAAGTTATTTGTGCACAAAACTTACTGAATGACAATAGACAGAAATACTATGAGACGTTTGAGAGAACTCTAAGACTATTTTATAATAGACTATGTTAAACACCAAAACTCTACCTGGACCCTAACTTGCACAAACAAAGTAGAATGATGAAGCTGTGCATCCCCCAAAGCCCTCTTTGCTAATGCCCATCTCAGCTGTGGTCATCAAGGAAAGAGGTAGTGTAGTGCATTCAGATCCTCTCCAGGACTGAAGAATTTGTTTCCTCGAGCTGCTGGGAGTGTTCCTGGCTAAGAGCCCTCAGCTGTCAGTCTTCTATAAAGGATCAAAGCTTCAGACCTCCTGTTTTGCTGAGGCTTTTGCTGAGACTATCACATCCTGATGTTTCCCTTTGCCCTCTGCTGAATTCGGTTCTCTTTTCTGCCTTCACACTTAATGATCCCCAGTGCACACCCTAATAAACTTCCTGCATACTAGGCTCTGCCTCAGAGTCTGCTTCCCCTTGAGCTTTATTTTTAAAAACTAAAAAGACCTTTCAGAGAACAGAGGCTGAGGCTATTCCATGGGCTAATTAAAAAACGTCACCTACTGCTGCAGCAGGGCACCCTGGCTATTGACCAGGCTATCTATGTTTCTTGTGTTCCCTTTTCTGAATAGGAACGTGTGTGTGTGTGGGTGTATGTGTTATTTCTCTAAAAACTGAAAATTAGTCATATTGACATTTTCCCCCTTAGCTTAAAGTAGCTTTCTAACAGACTATTGATGTACCATGACCTAGAAAAAAATCTTTGCAAAAATTTACATGATGGTCTTCTTCCGTGTGTGTTGGTATGAAAAGATGCCTTAAAAACAGTAATGTTTGTTTGTTCCTTTGTTTTTAAAGACAGAGTCTTGCTCTGTCACCCAGACTAGAGTGCAGTGGCATGATCATAGCTCACTATAAAAACTGGGTAATTTATGAAGAACAGAAGTATATTTCTCACGGTTCCGGAGAGTGGGAGGTCCAAGATGGAGGTTCCAACAGATATGGTGTCTGGTAAAGGTCGCCGTCTGCTTCTAGAATGGTGCCTTCTTACTGCCTCCTGACAGCAAGGTGGAAGGGGACAAAAAGGATGAATGCTGTGTCCTCACATGGTAGAAGAGATGGAAGTGCAGGCAACTTTCTGAAGCCTTTTTTAGAGACAGGATCTTACTCTGTTGCCCAGGCTGGAGTGCAGTGGTATGATCATAACTCGCTGAAGCCTTGAACTCCTGGGCTCAAATGATCCTTCCGCCTTAGTGTCCCAAGTAGCTGGGACTACAGGCACATACCATCATAGCCAGCTAAGTTTTGAAGTTTCTTGTAGATAAAGGGGTTTTACTATGTTGCCCAGGTTAGTTTTGAACTTCTGGCCTCAAGCGATCTTCCTGACTTGGGCTCATGAAGTTTGGGATTACGGATGTAAGCCACAAGAACCCAGCCTGAAGCCTTTTTCATAAGGGCATTAATTCCATTCATAAGGGCAGACCTTCATGACCTAATCACATTCCAAAAGCCCCTGTCTGGTAATGCCATCACCTTAGGGGTTAAGTTCTGACACAGGAATTTCAAGGAGACACCCACACTCAAACCATAGAAGTCTTTGTCAAAATGGACTAAATATTATTCAATTATAATTGATTACTGTTAAATAAGAATTCAAACTATGAATACTATATTACTATATTCTTTCTTCATTTGGGGAGACTAATTGTTCTAAAAGCAAGGCCTCCTCACTTTATTATGTTTTATTATTTTGCAAATAACACTTCCCTCAACAATCAAAAATTGCCTATGAAAATTTTTTAAACACTATCATGGGAATTTTGGGTGCATATAACTTGATTTTTCGTTCATAAGAGGTGGAAGCATGAGATGCTGCATAGAGACCTAAGGCCCTTCTGCATGGCTGATCCATCCTTGTAAATGCCTTTGTAATTTGGGCCACCTTTAAGCTACACCATTCCTCTGCTGATCAAAGCTTTATTATGACATTTACTTTAGAGTCTTGATCTCTGTGCAACAATGACTCCCATTAGCAAGTAGATATTTTCAACTTGTTCCACCATCATTACATTTGGGTTTATTAATACAGGGCTTCTTGCTTCCAGAATGATTATAGTTGCAATATACTGATTACTTTGCATATTTCACCTCAGTTAACCAACAAAGCAGATAGGTATTGTTTCTATGTTTTACATAACTGGAAATTGAAATGTGGAGCAGATTTGGTTCTCTGGAAGCAAAGATAGATTAGGGATCAACAACTGTGAAAGGAAGAGAGCAGAGGAAGAAATTAAACCGGGCCGTAGGCCTAATATACCCTTAGCAAACGCAGTTGGGAACTCTGGATCAAGTATTGCCCATCAGCTTCCCATGTCAGGTCAAAATGGCCAGCAATCTGTACACTTTCCTTGCTCCATCACTAGATGCAAGCTGTCATGGGAAAGCATGACGTTGGTCAAGGTGTGTCTCAGCTGAGCAGAACTCGGAGAAGTTTACATTGGAGGTACTCTACCTATTGCATTCCCCCCAGCTAAGAGCAAATACAATGTTGAAGGGGGATCTGAGAGGTGCATCTCCATCTCTGTGTCTACTACAGACTCTAGGAACATAGAAAATCTATTAAAGGTCCAATAACTAGTACGTGACAAAGATTTGATACCATGTTTTATGTGATTCAAAAACTTATGTCCCCTGCCAACTCATAATTGATTTCTAAATATTCCTTCAAACTAATATATCAAAATCACCTTTGGAGCTTTTTAAAAATGGTGATATCTGGACTTCACCCTGTGAGATTCTGATTCAATGGAAATGGGTAGGATTCAAAAATTCCACCCATTTTATTAAAAGTGCTCAGGCTGACTGTAAAGTACAGTCATGTATAGAAACCATTTCTAACAATACCATTAGTAAAAAAATTACACCAAATAGAAAAATGTCAAGGTTTTTAAATGCTGGACTACATTTACAGTAAAGCTATGGAATGTTTTGGGGGGAAGTTAAAAAGATCAGAACCAAGATTCATCTCTTTGGGGTTGTCTAACAACAGGGGCAAGACTTTTCCAGGACCCTGTGTCATGTTTTGTGATTGCTGGTTCTCTGATCACCTAGGGGAAAAATACTGCAGAAAGTATAGCTGCTTCATGATTCTTGAAAGCAACTGAGTCTGTAAGTGAACTAAAAAATTTGCCCTCCAAGTAGTTCCTGACATGTTTGTAAAAAGAATTTGAAGAAACCAAATTCGCTCTTTTTGTCTTTCAACTTAAAACTAATTATAGGTTCATGTTTTTAAAATTGTTTCAATATCTAATGCAATCGCTTTTGAGAATGAAGTAAATTCTTTAAATTTGCAAATGTAAATGAAAATTATAATTTTTGGTTTAAACAATACATAATTATGATGGGATTACAAAAGTTATAAGCTTAAGGTAAGACTGACTTGTTACTGGGATAACAAATTTCTGAGTCTGGCTTCTTTCCTTTTTTTTTTTTTTCTAGAACAAAGGAGTGAAAATCTGAGGCAGAGTTTTATCTACAGTGGGACTCTCAGGACTCTAGCTGTGGAGAGATAAAGAGGTAGGCATGCTAATAAAAGCAAGAAATATATATATGTATTATATATATATATAATACATATATATATAAAATATATATATATAAAGTACATTACATGCTACATGACGGTTTTTCCAAATTTTGTCTAATTAATATGCACTTTTTAATATGAAAAAAATATTTAAAATAGTGACGTAAGTTTCAAGCTGAGATAAAGTTAACATGACCTCTCTCTAGTTTGGGACAATGTCCTGAGCTTATGGGCTATGGCTTTTGACCTGTGCACCATTTTAAAGGGACAGTAAGCCTTGCTTCAGCTGCCACAAGAAGCTTTTACTCTGCTGTGAACACAGGAAAATGAAAGAGCTGTGTAAATACTGCACAAATATTTTCCAGGATGTTTATCTGATTGGTAATGAAAATTCTAAAAGGCTATGTTTAGCCTCTCTATATTAGACTATATTATAGGACCAACAATAAAGGTGAATGTGAGGAAATTGTAATACTGGCTGAATGCGTTCTTTAAAATCAGCAGTAGCAACTCATTCATCATTTATCTCCAACCATAGCACATTGTCTATTTGAATCAATAAATATGTGATAACTGTTTTTTAATTTTATGTACTTAAAACCATTGAAGTTTGGCCTTGGAAAAAAATCATCGGTATCTGAGGAAAAATCTTACATAATCGACTTCTGTCAATGACCGCAAATGCCACAAATCTAGATCTCTCATTTGGAGTCTCAAACGGCAGGTGAATTTGTTTAGCTCCTATGACTATAAGCTAAGCTAGTTATTACAAGCGGTTGTGGAGAAAACAGCCCTGTGATGGCCTGTGCCATCTGATCTTGAACTTTTCCATTTCTTCCTTTACGGTTTCTATTCTGCTTTATTAAGACAACAATTGTATGATGAATGTTTAAAATGGAAATTTCCTTTAATTGATATTCAAGATCTCCTTTAGATTAGAACTTTATTTTCTAGAGAGTACATGTAGCCAATATTAATGATGATCTTGTTCCATTGATATGTATCCACAGATTAAAGACGGCTGTTCTTCCTTTTTCTGTTAAGGAAGTGCTTCCTGTCACTCATTTTCTCCATAACCTCAGATAAGTCTTCACTGGTTTAATAACAATAGGCATCCTCATCTTACCGTGACAAATACAGAAAAAAAAAGAAACCTAAAATCTTTTACATAAAAGAAGTTTCATAATCACAGGCTATCACAAAGGGGAAAGTGTATAGTTACCATTGATAGTTTTAACATAAATTTCCTGACCTTAATTTGATTAAAATCTCAAAGACTGCAACAATGTAAATTTCTTTAAAGTTTAATTGCTCATTTCACTTTGAAAGCAGGAAAAACCTGAAGCTGGGGCAAAAAGGTAGTAGAGCGGAAGGAGAAGTTAAGGACTGAGCTGCTTTGCAGATCAGTGTTTGAAAGTGAACAGCCAACCTAACAAGAAGCAAAACCACAGAACAGAGTACCACATTGTCTTTCTGTTCACTTTGTTTCACATAATCATCCAGGCTCTTCCTACGTTTCTCTCTTACCACCTTTCTCTCTTCTTCTTCTTCTTCTTCTTCTTCTTCTTTTTTTTAAATTTCACAGATGCCACTGGGGTAGGTAAACTGACCCAACTCTGCAGAACTCAGAGGACGAAGGCAAGACTTCTACTTGAGCAGTTTTTCCATCCCTGCTATGTGCAGGAAATGAAGACATTGCCTGCCATGCTCGGAATTGGGAAATTATTTTGGGTCTTCTTCCTAATCCCATATCTGGATATCTGGAGAATCCATGGTAAGGCACCTGCTTAGATTATTTCTGGTTTTATTTCTCAGGGAGGCTTGGAGGCAACATTTTTCCTTGCTGAACTTAGTCCGGTGTAATGTTTGTGCTAAGCGGGTAATCGTAGATAAAACCAAGCAGTTACATTTGCTTACCGAAGGCACCGTAGAGCATAAACCAAGTTAGAACATAGCATTCACCTGCCTAAAACATAGGCATTGCATCCATAGCTTGGGTAACTTTCTTAAAAAAACAGGTTGATAGTAAGAAAAGAGAACTGAGTAGATGTTATAAATAGTTAAGTACAAATATATCACTACTTCTTGCAAAAATGCTCTGGCTGCCCTACTGATGATGACTAGATAGCTCGTTCTTTCTAAACTGAGTGCAGTAGAGCGTTGCAGTGCTCAGTTGGTTAGGACAGATGTTAGAGTTACTCTCAAATAATATTGTCTCTGAATAAAATCTCTATACTTGCTTCAGTGGGGTGTATGCCTTGAGAATACCAACTGAGAAAAGTCACTTTCTACCTTATATTGACATAGGAACCCACATATCATCAAGAGGGAAAGCCTATGAGTAGCTCATCAAAAGCTTCTGATTTTTCAGGGTTTATTTATATTTTATTTTTTTGAAATAGAGTTTTGCTCTTGTCACCCAGGCTGGAGTGCAGTGGTATGATCTCGACTCACTGCAACCTCCACCTCCAGGGTTGAAGCTATTCTCCTGCCTCAGCCTCTGGAGTAGCTGAGATTACAGGCACCTGCCACCATGCCCAGCTAATTTTTGTTTTTAGTTGAGACGGGGTTTCACCATGTTGGGCAGGCTGGTCTCGAACTCCTGACCCCCAGTGATCCACCTGTCTCAGGCTCCCAAAGTGCTGGGATCACAGGTGTAAGCCACTGCACCCAGCAGTTTTTCAGGTTTTAAATATTCTGTCTTATTATATTCACAAGCACATATTTATCAGTTTGTGTATTGCAATTTTAAATTAGAAAATCTGGTCACTGAGGTTCTATGGAAAGTCCATCTGTAATTTTAAACTGTATAGTTTGGAATTTGTCTCTGTGATGCCAGAATGCCACATGACCAAGTGAAAAGTAAAAAAATCCTTAGCTACCCAAGCATTTTTATGTTTGCAAGTATCTAGTATTAAATCAACTAGGTGCTTAGATGGTTAGCTGAATTTTTCACCTTCCACCTGCCTTTAGTCACATAGCTACAACTGTAGTCATATTATCAAATAGAATTAATCCCCATTTGAAGGATACATAAACTACTCTTCGTGAAATTAAGACCAATGAATTTCAGGACTAAACTGCATTGAGGATGGGGTATGACATTTATTAATGTGCAACCTGGTGTTTGCAAAAGTGAACTTGCATGTTAGAACTGGGTTAATTTACTTGCTCCGCCACTTACTATATGGTCTTGATTTAGTCTCTTCTCTCATCTTTAGTTTCCTCAATTGTAAAATTGGGATAATAATTGTACCTAAGTGATGGGGCCACTGTGAAGAGTGCAAATGCAATAGTATGGTTAAAGTGCCTAGCATAGTAAGTGTACATATTTAAAGCTCGAAAAATGTTAGTGATATTTTTCCTATATTATTTTCACCAAGCAACTTCCATGTAATTAAATAAGAAGTATGTTTTAACATTATTATTTAAAATATTTGAGTTTTTAAAGTTAAAAGTAAATAAGTACAATATATTTTGCAATATATTTAGCCCAAAATATAATGAATCAAATTATTCAGAAAACGAAATGCAGCCAGGAGCCATGGCTCACACCTGTAATCCCAGCACTTTGGGAGGCTAAGACAGGTGGATCACCTGAGTTCAAGAGTTTAAGACCAGACTGGCCAACATGGTGAAACCCTGTCTCTAATAAAAATACAAAAATTTGCTAGGTGTGGTAGGGGGTGCCTGTAATCCTAGGTACTTGGGAGACCAAGGCAGGAGAATAGCTTGAACCCAGGCAGGAGGTGAGGCTTCAGTGAGCCAAGATCACACCACTGCATTAAAAAAAAAGAAAGAAAGAAAGAAAGAAAGACTTGAATGAAGTGCTGGTCAGATAGCTTATATACCAGTTGATATAATGGATTGCAGCATCAGTTGCATTAAATTGGGGCTATAGGTTGAGAGAAGGAACACTTGGTGAAATTTGTTCTTCCAGGCAGAGCTGATGGCTCCATTTCTTAAAACCACATTAATTACCTTCTATCTTGGGGATTTCCTGAGATTTACTTGATTGCTGAGTTCTTTACAGTAACACATTTTCAAAGTGTTTAAAGGTAATCTTTGAAGATTTTCCCCCTACTTCAAAGCAATGTGAGATCTGTGTCCTTGTTCCTAGGAGTAAGGCTGCATCTATAATAAGACTGGAAAAAATGTGATGTTCTTTACAAACTACCTGTTTAAGGTCCTCCTTTATTATAAAATATGCTTGCTTACTTTTTGTGTTTCTCAAAAAAATTAGAGAAACTTGCCCCTAAGTGTGTAGCATACAATTTCTGTCCTGATAGAAGTAATAAAAATGGCAACACCTTCCCTTCATGGGCAGATCATACTGGCAAGAACTAGACTGCAAGTGGAAGTGTCTCTGTCCATTACCTGGCCTGTTGTCCTGGACCATTTGTCTGAGGCTGCCCTAGACCCTAGTTCAGCTGAGGATAACCAAGGATTCTACCTTTAGGCAGGCAGGAACACTGCAGTTAATGTCTGGGTATCGCCTAGCACCATGTATCATCCAGAATAAAGGCAGTTAGAACTCTTTGATTACTGGTTGTTGTGATTTTTTTAAAAAGCAATCTTAGTCTGGTTCAGTAAGAGAAGAATACCTGTATTCTGGCTCTTTCAAGAATACAGTGGTTAGAGCTATGTCTCCATTTTGGTCTGGCCTGTGTCCCTTTTTTTCCGTTTATTATGATGGCCCAGTATGGTCCGTGGATCAGCTTTTAAACACCATATTCCACATGCTGTGCAGATTTTTTTGCTCTACCACAAACTGGCGATATCTTTGGGTCAAAAAAGACACACCGGGACAGATGGTGCTCTGCAATTGTCTATCATCCCTTGAAGTTCAGGCTTTGTAGCACAGTATCTTTATAAAGCATGTTTCTATGGCTTCAGCTATTTGTTCCTACTGAAATATGCACATGGAGGAATGCTAGAGATAGAGCTGTCTTCTGCCAAGTGCCTATGTATTATTACAAAAATGCCTGCCACATATTGAATAAATGTTTAGGAATTCTGCGGTTACAGGACTTCTTGAATTAAAGCATGAACAGATTAACCCTGTGGTGATTGCAGCCTGGAATATGCTTTGCAATCACAGAGAAGTTCTTTAATTTCTTGTTGCTTCCTCTGTCCTACTACCAAAGTTTCCTCTACTATAAAGTTGAAGTCAAAAGCTGTTTATCTTGCCTCATTGGGACTTTCCTACTTAATTTCCATTATTTGTGAGTTTCATTTTTATGTAGAGTTAAGAATTGAAAAAAAAATGTTTTAATCAGGTTCAAAAAATAAAATTAATCATTTTCTTTTTTCCGTGGAGAAGCCGTATTACCGGTATAGTGGCTAAGATCAGGGACTCTAGAGGCAGACTGCCTGGATTAGTATCCTATGTCTGCCATTTAATAGTTTTTTTGACTATAAAGTCTCCGGTCCTCAGTCTCCTCATCTAAAAAAATGGGAGAACAATCTTATAAGATTGTTGTGACTATTCGGTGAATTAATTCTGTAAAACACTTAGAATAGTGCATGGTATGTCATTAAGTGATGTGTATATTTAGCTAATTTTCTTTCTTTTAGTCCAACATTTCATTAGCTTAATAGTCTCATTAAAGTAACATTGGGTGACAACTGGGAATCAACCAGAAATAAAAATTTGGAGTTGATAAAAGTCTTCTCTAAATTACTCTTATTATTATCTACTCTTTTTTTTTCTTTATTTCTTCAAAAAAAAAAAAAAAAAAAGGAAAACAGGATACATGTGCAGAATGTGCAGATTTGTTACATAGATATACAAATGCCATGGTGGTTTGCTGAACCTATTGACCCATCCTATAATTTTCCTCCCCTCCTCCCCACCCTCAACAGGCTCTGGTTTGTGTTGTTCCCCTCTCTGTATCCATATGTTCTCATCGTTCAGCTCCCACTTATGAGTCAGAACATGCAATGTTTGGTTTTCGGTTCCTGTGCTAGTTTGCTGAGGATTATGGCTTCCTGCTTTCTCCATGTGCCTGCAAAGGACATGATCTCATCCCTTTTTATGGCTGCATAGTATTGCATGGTGTATATGTAGCACATTTTCTTTTTCCAGTCTATCATTGATGGGCATTTGGGTTGGTTCCATGTCTTTGCTATTGTAAATAGTGCTGCAATAAACATACCTGTGCATTTGTCTTTATGATTTATATTCCTTTGGGTATATATCCAGTAATGGGATTGTTAGGTCAAATGGTATTTCTGGTTCTAGATCCTTGAGGAATTGCCATACTGTCTTCCACAATGCTTGAACTAATTTATACTCCCATCAACAGTGTAAAAAGCATTCCTAATTCTCCACAGCCTCACCAGCATCTATTGTTTCCTGACTTTTTAAAAATTGCCATTCTGACTGGCGTGACATGGTATTTCATTATGGTTTTGATTTGCATTTCGCTGATGATCAGTGATGTTGAGCTTTTATTCTTATGTTTATTGGCCACATAAATGTCTTCTTTTGAGAAGTGTCAGCTTAGGTCAGGTGCAGTGGCTCATGCCTGTTATCCCAGCACTTTGGGAGGCTGAGGCAGGCAGATCATTTGATATCAGAAGTTCAAGACCAATCTGGCCAACATGGTGAAACCTTGTCTGTAATAAAAATACAAAAATTAGCTGGGTTTGGTGGTGCACACCTGTAATAACAGCTACTTGGGAGGCAGAGGGAGAATTGCATGATCTCAGGAGATGGAAGTTGCAATGAGCCAAGATTGCACCACCACATTCCAGCTGGGTAACTCAGGA